TGTTGAGTTTGCGGTTGCAAAGGTCAACGTTATTCTCTGATTTCAAATGATATGAAGTTGTAACAGGTTACTTGTCTTATGAAATGAATAAACTTAAGTTTGAATTAAAATAGCTACTTCTATGTCATATAAAAATAATAATCGATGATCTAATTTAGCCGGCTGATAGTTTAGGTAATGCTACATTTGAAGTTTGAACACTACACAATGAAGAAGACAAACCGATATTATGTCAATCATATTGGCAGGCATTGTTCATAGGCAAACGTAGTGGAGGGCGCCCTCCAGCTAGGTGGACTGACGATATTCGATGACGATATGACTATCCGATCCAGGGTGGCTGGCAGTGGTTGGATGAGAAGGGCTCAGTAGCGTAGGTACAATTGGTCTAGCCGTGGACGAAATCAATGAAACAATCCTAGTTGAAAAAGTCAATAACAGAATTGAGAAGTTCCTATTACTACTACATATTAGTGAATTCCACTATAGTAGGTAGTACTGGTCTGTGTGACCACAAACCATATCCAGCAACTAATTGGCGACAACTGATTACGCAGTTGGTTTTTGATAACTATGCGGTAAGATTGAGGTAGGAATCAAAGCTGTCAATATGAGTATCAATTAAGCAGACAATGTCGTGATCGAATGCGGGAACGTGGACAAAGAACAGTAAAAAAAATAGAAAATAATAATAAAATATTCTGTGGCTGAAGAGCAATGATGAACAACAATCGACCTTAACATCTTTTGTTCAAGATCTAAAAATGTCTGACGTAAAATTCCCTACTAAACAAATTAGATTTCCATATTCGAATTTTAAAATTGATAGTTTCGTATGAATTTAACGTCATACTGTCGTCTGTAGTGTCTAATAGTACCTAACCATAATTATAGGTGGAAAAATATCTATAAAAATCACGAAAGAAATATTTTCCATTATATGTATTTCTGTGTGTGATTCTTTTTATAATATGTATATTTTACTGTGTAGAAAATAATGAAGTATTTTTTTTACCCAATCAATCAATAAAGTCGCTGTGAGGAAATTAGTTAACTTTAAGCCCTCTTAATGAATTAGCGCCTATATAATAAATAGGTACCAGAAAATCAGCTGATATTTAAAACAATATTATCAGTCGAGTGTTCATAATTTACATTATTATCATTCCGCCAACCTTGTGCAGATATTATTTAAGTAGCGATAAACTGTATCGCGATTACTGTAAGCATTTCCCTAATTTAATTATTATGTAAATATTACGCATATGTATGAGTAGCTGATCTTCTCTGAATACTTTTACTCGACACTTTTAAACCTATCACCATGTTTGTACCTACCTATGTATGTATACGTATTGATAAATAGGTATATAAGACACAGATTTTTGCTTCTTAAATTATTCTTTTCAGTTTGGTATTATATTCACCTGTTATAACAGCTGGATGTAAAGGCTATTTTTGCATAACATATCCTACCAAAAATACGTCAGAAAAAACCTAATCTCAGTCAAAACGATCCATTGGGAAATTGAGGTTAACTCTCAAATTGAACACTAGTCGTTATGGTTACCTTTAACAAACTAATTCACACGTGTTACCAGAAGGAACGCGTGTGTGACCTTCCAGTTAACCCTTACACCACAATGGATACGTTTAATTGGATAACCAGCCCTTGTAAGACCCAGCTTATAATGAGCAAGGACGAAAATAATCAGTTTGACATGATTAAATTTTAGCAATAAAATGCCAACTGTCATTCAGACCTTTAATTACTAAAACTCTTAAGTTTTCGTTTATTCCAGAGTTTTGAAAGGCATTAAAGTATTCAAATTAAGTTGAGCTAAATGTTTCTTCTGGCAAGTCCAAACTTATCCTTTTACTCAGTGTAGATAAAGGAACAAGAATGATATTTGTACTTAGATCAACAAAAAAATTGGCGCCAAACACCGCCATTTTCCAATATGGCGGCTGTAAAAAAGAATTTAAGAGAAAGCTTATTGTAAAATTTGTTTTACAAACATAAACAATATCATTATTAATACTTGTTATAATTTCATTGTTTCACATATCATTACAAAATCCCGAAGGTACAGTTACTAACAGAGCTTGAGGGAAAATTGCGAAGGGGCAGCAAGCAGGTTTGCCAATTAATTTTATTATTAACAAAAGCTTAATAAGTATGAGGCTTATAACGAAGTCTGTTTGCAACACTTTTGTATATTTTTTCCTTTTGAATTTTGTTTTATATATTGTTCATTCGTAAGAAGATTATTTAAGGGTTTGTCTAAAGTGAAGATTAGTATTATGAAAACAGTAAGATGTAAATACATTTCATTACTTAACCAATAATAAAATGTATTTCTAGGATTAATTTTTCATTTAATAACTTAGTTTCTTGATCTTTCCATGTTTGGTTAGCTTAGTCAATTTTAGTTTTTTGGTACTTATACCTGCAGTTTAATAATGCGAGTAACTTAGTTTTTGTAGTTCATCACAAACCAAATAGCGACTACCTATTGCTGAGCAAAGGCTTTTTCAGGCACAAAAATTATATGCTCAAGACGCTTCCTATCGTCTCACCGAAAAAACTTAAGGCCTTACAATTTGTAGACCTTAAAAAAATCGCAAGTTGTTTTTTATCACCGTTTTCGTCCACTATCCACAAATTGTGTAGGTACCCCCAAACATTACAATCACATGTATTTTATTATATCCATTAAACGTGTTACATAAATATATTTTTAAATTACTACATTTCATTGCTCACTTATCTCCGGGCGCTTAAATAGTTTTTAATACAATGTTGCAAGTGTGAAGTTGCCAAACATTTTTTTTAAAGATAACATCTACTGGTTTTAATTATTAATTGGTCTGATGTAATAAGTAAACTGTTACGACTAATTTGATAGTGATATATTATATTGGAAACATGTTTTTAATCAAAAACCTGTTTTATTAAGAATTATCTAAAGTTGAAAATTCGCAAGTGATAGTCTAAAATAATGTATGATAAGTAATTAATCAAGTTCCTAAAGGCAGTATTTTTTATTGAAACTACCGACATAATTTTCGTTTCTTTTACTCAAATCTTAATAATAGGTTTGGAAAAGTTGTGCATTTGTGAGAGATATTATATTTAAGAAAACGCACGCGCACCTACGCCCATTTTTCTTCATCACTTAGCTACTTTTTCAGCTTCCATTTTACATATCTATTCATACCACAGTGAAAGTAAAAATGGTGCTAAAATATTTTTGTTACGCGCATGCTGCTCCTGATTATGGACCCGGGCGTTGCTTGAAACAAGTCGTGTTGCCTCTTCGAACAGTTAAGTAGTAGTGCATCAAACTTAAGATTTTTATTATGATTGTTAGTTTTCATACAAAAATATTCAATAAACTCATTGCATTGCCAGTGTATTCGGTTAAAAGCCATAACTACTTTGCAGGTGTTGAAGTAATCACATCATCTAACTTTAACGTGGTTTCTTATCGTACAGGTGGAACTGCGACATTATGTTGAATGAAGTCCGTTACTCAAAATGGAAAACCAGCTAGCTAGTCAGATTTAATTGGACGAAAAACTATGTACCTACAGCAGACACAAATTTATTTAAATGAGGGTTAAGAAACTTATATTCATTGAGTGTTTTATTCACTCGATCGATTAGGGTTTTTTATTAAAAAATATCTATTAAACAGGTCTTTAAAAATACCTACTTACCATGTTTTAGAAAAACAAAAAATCGCTTCATTAGCTCCTTTGCATTGTACAATTTACCTGGTGATTAAGCAGTCGATGTAATTTAATCGAATGAAAGGAATAAGGTTGTGACTATGTGAAGCAAATACAATACATATGATACTAAACATGAATACATACTTAGTTAAATTATACGCAATTAAAAATTACTTAATTAGAAAATTTGCCAAATTAGGAGTTAGGCATCGTGGTCCGGTGGTTGAGGCACCCAATTCTCATATACGAGAATGAGGGTTCAATTCTTAACAAGTACAAATGTGTCGATAACCGACTTATTTTAAAAGATTTTTAAATATCATACCCATTTTTGGGAACAACAATTGGTGATCACACAAAAAGTGGTTCCTAACGAGATTTGGTGCAACAGTCGGTTGATGAGCCACCGTGTCAACTGATCTTAGCTGATGGGTGAAAAGATCAACCCAAAACATGCAGATCACATCAAGCTTTGCAGGGAAACGAGGGTAGATAGAAATGCTAAAATTTTAGTTTAAAAACTCGAGTATCAAAGGCAAAGATTTTAATTAGGATTTTTTATAGGGACATTTGTGACACTTCTCCCCATCCGGACACAGTGAATCTAGGTAAACATCTACTAGCAATCTAGGACACAGCTTAGACCACACCAGACTACCTAGTCATTAGCTTATTACCTACGTTGTATTAACTATTTAGAAGAAACTGAGTCGTTGGCCAGTAACTGGTAAGTTAGGGTCTCTTGAGTTCGATTCGCACGTCAAGAAATTTTCTTATTAGTCTAATCAAGATCAGCCAAGTAACTACCTATAGTGGATAACATTATAATCTTATCGTTGCAACACAAATTGACAAAGTAAGATTTGAGGATGTAGATTCGAAAAAAATGCCAAAAACATATAAGTAATTACGTTACATTATAAAATTCAAAGGAGTACCCACATAAACAATTTACCTGTTCTTATAAATGATTTCGGCTTTATCATTCAACATTCGTTCAGTCATAAAGCAAGTACACTATTGCAGGTTATTTTCAAACAACTCTGTTGAAACAATCTTTGTATCAACGCCGCGTTCCGTTCACCAAAGAAATATACACCGGGCCGATAAGACATACCAATCAACAAGTACCGGCCGATGTGCCGATTATCTACGGTACTTACAAAAATGTGGACAGGTTGCCACTCAACGCATTTCAAATGACCTACACAACGGGACATCAATAGACTCACTACTTATAGGCATCTCGACATTAGACTTACCACAAAAACTCCAATAAAAAAATCCAAGTAATCAGGTGCACAGAAAAAAATAAAAACTCGTTTTACACACACATATGAATAATATTGATAAACACTACAATAAATCCACAATATTCATAAAACACATGCACAATTCGTAACTTGTTTTTAATCACTTAAAATTATTTTTCGTTCGATATTTCGCGGGAATCGTGATAAGCGCGGCACGCACGTCCGCCCCTGCGCGGTTATCACTCACGACTAGTGAACGAATGGGAACGAAAGAACGGAATGTCGTGGTGACCGAATGGTGCGCGAGATACGAGGGCACGCGTTCATTCCGAACGTGTCTAGCGCTAGCACCTTCATTCTATATTTGTGACTGGCAGCAATGATTTAATGAAGCAGAGAATATACATACGCCTTTTGATTTTAGAATAGTTTTTAAATAAATAGAGATCCATATTAAAAATTGACAGTACCTACATATTAAGTCGTTCGTGCGTTTGCCAATATTCAATAGTTTTATTTCCTCACTGAGTTGTAGCCATCCTATGATACCTAACTGGATTAAAATATTTACGAAAATTATTAAATGAATTGACGTCACCCCTCGGCAATGTCGTGCTGATCCTTAATCCTATTTATCATAAAATTTTATAATTATCTTGACATGATAAGTACTTACTGGTTTAACCATTTTTGCCGATTAATTCATTCTTCTTACATTCTACTTAGTTGATAAGAATTTACGATTCTTGTTAAATAGATAGGTAGATATTATAGGCATCGCATCAATAATGTTTCAATAGTAATTTCATTTTGCAAGGTAATTATACTAAAATAAAGATTATAATTATTTTGTAGCGCCATGCTAGTTTCTATGTCAATACAGTATTCAAAATGATATTCTTTCTATACTAATATTATATAGAGGTAAAATTAGTAAGTTTCTATGTAGGGGTAATCTCTGGAACCGCTGGTCAGATTTCCAAAAGTCTTTCACTGATAGCTATAATGTTCCTGATTGCTATTAGGCTTATTAATTTGCGTATTTTAGTCGAGCTATCGCTTTAAGGGCTGCTGTTTTTAAAAACCCGGGATACCTTACTTTTATACGCGTGCGAATTTTATATTTGATTAAGGTTTGTTGATTGAGGTTGATTTTATATTTGTTGACAAAGGTTGTCTGGACGAAATCACCTGCGTGATAAGACCGCCCATTGTACACTCTGTGGTTGTTAGCCCGCTCTTTGTGTCTAAATTTGTAATGATGTGTACAATTAAGAATATATATATAAATAAATTAAGCCAATATCATCTTTCCATTACATAGTATATATAATATTTTACAACCACAATCAAACAAAACTGTTCGATTACACTGCACAACGAAACCAAAATGGCTGAACGAATCAATTTCAAATCCATTTCTCTAAGACAAAACACGGAGGAACCAACTTGAACTAGTTTCGCGTTACGGTTATTTATGTCAAATTCATAAACACCAAAGCTTTTGTTCCAAGCAACCCACTTTCATTCATGTTTGTAGTAATAATTGACATTGCCGCGAGAAAGGCGAGACGTTGATAATTAAATTTAATTATTATCACGTTTGCTGGTAAGGGTTAAGGTTTATAATCGCTTGGCGTTTATTTTTTCACATGCTATGGTGCCAGTGTGGGGTCTCGTGTCCGGTTGGTTATCTGACTACTCGTTTCCTTTATTCATTGAAGCGTGTAGTTTCTTATGGGGGCTTTTTAAAATGTACCTTAATTTTGAGTCATTTTGTACCAATTTTAATAAGAGAGTATGTCAAGTAAGTAATATTCTTATAGGTAAATGTAATTTATCCTATGTGTGTGACACACACGTACAATATATCACACACACATAGAAACTGTGTGAGTGTATGTTCAAGATTATTTAATTTATTTAAAAATGTTGTTTTAGGACTATTTCTATAAATATTGGTCTGATTAAAAACTATTTCATATAAAGGTCCAAATTAATTTCCCAGAAATAGAATCTACCGATTTTTATTTTTATTAAATTATAAAATAAAAAGCAGTTAACAAAAAACATTATTGGCATTTCAAGAAATGTTTCTTTTCGTGTTTTCTTAAAGGTCATGGCTTAAGAAGTCTACAGTGATCAAACTTCACAGAAAAACCTTAATCTCATCAGAAAAATCTTAATAACAGCTATACGCGCTTCCAACACGTACCAGATTCGGATGTGTAAGTAAGTAAGTATAAGTGCTTTATTTTTAGTACACACGTTTTACAGTTAAACCTACTAAATAAAAAAGGGCCACATTTTACGCGAAGGAAGACTCTTTAAAATGTTCCAAACCTTAAAAGTTGAACGTGATTCCGTAATCTCCTTCGAAATTACGATCGTTTTATTGCAAATCTTCAATCAAAATGATGCGTAAGTTAGAGAGCCATGCAAATATATGTTTCACGGATATAAATGTCGATCTAAAAACCATTGGAAAGCTGTGAAACGATTGGAACTAACGTACGCATGAATAATGTAGTGCAAAATTGTATTCAATCTCGGCGGGGATAAGTTTTTACTGCTTCCACTGGGCTCCTTGTTTAATGAAGCGCGGGTTCCGGATTTAACATCTAGAATATTCGCAAAATAAAGGCGTTTAACTGGAATAATAAGTGAGAGAGACATGCTTCGGCACCAATGAGCCAGCTCGACCGGAGTGATACCACGGCCCCGCAGAAACCCGGCGTGAAGCAACACTTTTTTATGTACGTTGTATTTCACCGAGTGAGTTTACTGGATGCCCAATTCTTCCCCCTTATCATCAATCCTCAAATCCACTATCCTTTAATCCCTAATAAGAAAGAAAGAAAGAAAAGAAAGAAAAGAAAGAAAATAAGCTTTATTTCACACGCTAAAACATGCGACACATAAGATTCTGTACAAACACTTTATGGACCACCTACATACTAGAGTCCCAAGTCTGCGGTGAAATGGGACCAGTTCAGCATGTGCAAGACAGGGCCTTGCGCTGGTATTCTACAGGCCCCTTAAGTGACTCGCGGACGAACAAGCCACCAACGGACAGCAGTAAACAATTACCAGTTTGTAAATAAGTAAAAAAAAAAAAACAAAAATTATAAAATAACAAAAGTAAATCAAACATTAAAATAAATCTACTAAAAAAACATCAAAAAACAACACAATAAAAGTTACATACAATAAAAATTTCACTTTAAATAGTAACATACATATAACCTATCATTAACTTTTATAATCATTAAAAACAAGAAGAAAAATAAGAAACAAATAGTCATGACATGGGATTGAGATGGCGATAGCAAGCAGGCAAAACTGTGACACCACGCCATAGGCGCTGGACAAGTGGAATTGAAAAATTATACTTATTTCAATATCAATATTTCAAATCAATTGTATTGTATTGTGTTATTGTGTAGTGTGTTTGTGCATCAATGCAACAGAAAAAACTTTAATCAAAATTCTATCTGTGTGGTAGAATGTTGACCCATGCAGTTAATCTTAAAGAATGCGATCGAAGTTTGTAGGTACTATTTTATGGGAGTTAGATTTGCGCGTATCCTTGAACCAGTGACACTGACGGTCATGGTGTCGAGGTGGAAGACCACATATTCAAGTGCCACATAGTTATATTAAAGATGTGTTGACACTCACCATTCCTATCTTTCTCTGTGCGTCCATCAAATATCGACGCACATGTGTTCTAAAAGTACCAATTGTGTTGAGAGACCTGATAGGTGGAGGTAGGTTATTCCATACCTTCGATGCAGCATAACGGAAGCTACCCCGAAAGCCCGATGTCCTATGCCTCGGTATGGACAGTGGGCGGGTGCACTGTCTCAGTTTACATTCCCTTCCACTTGCTACCCAGTTAAGCCTGTCATACAGATACGAAGGTTCCCTCCGCTTTACGACTCCGAACATAAGGCATGCCAGATGTAGTTTACGTCTTGACTTCATTTTTAAAATGCAATGTTGGTTTAGATACGGAGTGACATGACTCCTCCTCGGAATCGCAAAGCAAAAGCGAGCACAGGCGTTTTGAACCCTTTGAATGAGCCTCTCTGTTCGTGACAGTAGACGCGGGCCGTAAACGGTATCGGCATAATTTAACTTTGATAAAACTAGGGATTCTACTAGTTGTATCCGCAGTTCCTCAGACAAATACGGTCGTATCTTGTATAGAATAGACAAGCGGTAAAAACAGTTACGGACTGATTCAGCAATGTGTTTCTCGTACCTAAGACCACTATCCATATATAAGCCCAGGTTCCGCGCCCCCTCAACCCTCTCAATCGACTCCCCCATTAATTCTATATTAAAGTCAGGCAAAGAATTTAGGCTAACCCTGCTACCAAACAACATGAATTTGGTTTTTGCAGGGTTTAATACTAGAGAGTTCTCTTCTGACCATTTTACAATTCTCCCAAGATCTTCATTTAACTTGCTAATCGCGGTGTGATATTCGCTCGGTCGAAAAGAGACATATAATTGCACATCGTCTGCATAAATGTGATATCCACTATTCTTTAGGCATTTAGCTAAGTCTGCACAGTATAATGTAAACAATACGGGTCCCAAAATTGATCCCTGGGGCACACCCCTTCCCACAGGAGTAAGTTCAGAAGAGAGAGTGTTGCCGTTATTCGACTGCAAAACTACGCGCTGCCGCCGATCATCCAAATAGCTGTGAAACCACAAAACGGTTTTATGGTCAAATCCATAGTATCTTAGTTTAGACAACAACAGAGGGACACTGATACAGTCAAATGCACGGGAGAAGTCCAATAGCACGAGCACTGTACACATACCCTGGTCCTGAGCCAATAAAATACTGTCCGTCACGTCAAGCAAGGCAGTAGCAGTACTACGCTGCTTCCTGAAGCCGGATTGCAGAGCAGGGAGCAAACCGTTTTTCTCGAGGAAATCCGTCATTTGGTTACAGACCACTCTCTCCATAACCTTTGACAGACACGGGAGAATACTGATGGGTCGCAGGTCTTTAAGAACAGTTGGGTTAGATATCTTGGGAAGCGGTCGAACAGTTGCTATCTTCCATATATTAGGAAAGGTTGAGGTTTGAATAGATGTATTTACAATATCAGTAAGATTATTTAAAATGTGAGGTAACGTCAGATTAATCATGTTCAAATTTATGTTGTCACAGCCTTCCGCATTAGATTTTAAATTAATAACAATTTTAAAAATAACCTCCCGTCCCAC